ACAGACAGACATACATACAGACATACATACAGACAGACAGACATACATACATACATACATACATACATACATACATACACACACACACATATATATATATATGTATATCTTCATAATATATATATATATATATTCTAGAATATAATCTTCATGTACACAAATATATATATATATATATACACACATTTATATATGTATATATATATATATATTTATGTACATAGACATACATACATACCTATATAAAAATATCTACATGTAGCATGATCAGCGAAAGCCCTAGGCTAGGCCCTGGACCGCCTCAGGCAGATCAAACCTCAATGGATGGGTATTGAGGTCACTAAGGTGTAGCAAAGCAGAGCATGTTGTCTCCGTGTGTCCCGGTGCCACGGTGTTCTCACTGCTGTACCAGCTTCCATGGCCACGTTGTGCAAGTCGTGCTCAGCCATAGGTCACTTGTTCTCAGCCTCGCACTCACAACCTTGCATTATTTGACAGTGATCTGCAGCTCATCAATTCGCAGCAGTGTCCCCGTGTCGCGACACTCTATCGCCGAGATGAATCGCGAACTCTCTTTCTCTTTCTTTAACCAGACATAGACATAAAATTGAAACCACTGCCGAAACAATATGTGGTCCGGTGGTAGAATCAATCCATCGTTGCCATCCATGTGAGTCGGGTTGATCGACACGTGATTAACAGCGGTCGAGACATTGCCACACGGCCAATCCAAGTTGACTTTCGTTGTGTCTCTCTTTGTCTCTCTCTTTCCCTCTCTCTCTCTCTCTATCTCCTCACTCACACTCTCTCTCTCTCTCTCTCTCTCCCTCCGTGCCTCCGACCAGTCATTCAAAACGGCTGATGAACACATTCATGTGCAGTCGTCGGCATGCGATGCGGGGAGCCAGAGAGCTTAACTGTTCCTGCCAGCAATAAAACAAGACCCGCTGCACAGCAAGTTCTCTATCAAGTTCTCTATTCTATTTCTCCAGGGTTGATCAACATGTGTCTGTTTTCGTGGAGGCTCGATAGGTCCTTCTCCGCACCCTTGGCCTCTTGGCAGGTTGGCTCTACAAAATGGTTGGGCAAAGCGCTTACATTCCTGTACGGGAGGTTGGCTGTGGTTGTCGGCCAATGTGACACTGCAGTCACATGTTTTAGCCTGCAGGTTTAGTTTACAAAACTATCTAGCAAAACCATGTCAAGGCAACAAGATGAAAGCGAAGGGCCTCCAGAAGTGGCTGGCTCGAGCTCCCGTCCCAATGCTTCTGCTTCCGAGTGAATCCGGGCTAAGGCTCCGGTGGTATTGCCAAATGTGTCAGAAGCAGTGTCGAGATGAGAATGGCTTCAAGTGCCACCGCATGTCTGCCAGATACCAAGCTTCCCTGGATTGAGAACGCCCCCTCCTGTGCTAGCCTTGCCTGGATCGAGTCAGGACGGGCACCAACGTCAAATGCAGCTCTTTGTCCAGGATCCGAATCGTTTCATGGACGAGTTCTCCCAGGACTGCTGCTGCGTGTGTACTGAACTTCAGACTGGAGCCAAAACCTCACACTCCTCGGAGGAGTTTGAGAGAGGCTTCATGCAGCTAATGAGCGCGTGCCTTTGTTGGCGGCATTTACTGTTGAAGGGAATGACATGTCAGGCGGGTCGTTTGCCGGGGTGCTTGTGTGAATATGTCATAAGTTTTAGGTTATTCTCAACTTGCGCCACATATTTGGCTGGGAGACCATCGTGATTGCTTGCGAGATCCGTCCGGTTCTGTGCTGTGTGAACGAGGACTTAGGAAACGGCGTTGCTCCCGTGCGCCCTTAGACCAAGTTGCCCCAGGCGTGTGGTCGACGAAACTTGTTGGGCCAGCGTGCTAGCCAGGGGGTGAGCATCAACACCTCCAAATGCAAAACAAGTGGGCGTGACTTGAATGCTTGTGGGCCATTCGACTTTGAGGGGTTAGACCATTTCGGGCCCAACAAAACCTGCAGTAAGCTCAAAGCCTAGCTCCCACAACCATAAACAGCGGTCTGATCGTATTGGTATGCTACCGTGATAATCAGGGACCGCCGGCAGAACGAGAATTTTTTCTCAGGTGTCCGCTGCCGCCCTTGCTTTGCCTTCGGTGCCGTCGCCCTGAAAGTCTCCCGACCACAACCTGAAAGTTGCTGTCGATGGCCGGGTTCGAGTGTGCTTTATGGCAGCTATGCGTGCCCCATCACCGGACAAAATACGTCAAGGCCCTTCATGTGCTGAAAGGCCAAGGTCGGAAAACTTGTGCCGTGATCGAGGAGGCTCATGCAAGTCTTTTCGGAAGGCTAGTAGCCTCTGGACCGAAAGATGGTGGGAACGTAGGCTTCGCTGCATCCTTGCGATTTCTTCGTTCTTCGGCCGGTTATGGCTTGTCGTGAAGGTCCACGCGGAATCACGTTCTGACCCGAAGTGGCTTTTACTGTCTGCAGCCATACGAGTATCGGTGCGCTATGTTTTAGAGGTTGTACGCCCTGCCAAGTTTCTCCCCACTCTTGCCCTGCTCTCAACTTCGCATCCTTCCAGCTTCCCTAACTCCGACTTGCCCAGATGAGCTTTTCTCCTCCACACTATGGCATATCGACACCTACTCAAACGGATGGTTTGCATCATTTGCTCAGGCCACAGCTACAGGTCGCAAAGAGTTGGCGGCTTACTTGATGCTCCCACTCATAGCCGCGCTGTTGCATGAGTCGTTCGTCTTTACTGGACACGCACGGCAGGTTCTTGCCAACACGGTCTACTGCCGGATGCCTGGGGTTTGGCAAGAAGATCTTTTGCCGAGCCATTTTTGGTCGCAGCCTTGTTTGGCCCGAGCATGTGGAAGATTTGCAGCTGACGGATCCGCAGCACCATGGAGGCATCTTTGTTGCAAGATATTAAGGCAGCGAGTGTAAAGATCCTCAGGTGCGTGCAGATGGAGTGCTAGTAGTATTCTCATTCGGGGTTTTGCTAAGGCTTGTGGTTGTGTTTGTTGTTTTTGCGATTGTGGTTTGGGATAGTGGTCAAACATGAAATGAAAGTCAAGAAAAAACTAAACGTAGCTGTCGGCGAGAAAGGGAAGATACCCCTGCCTGCCCCTGCTGTCTACCCACGCAGGACTGCCACCATGCCCTGTCATGCTCACCGTGTGGTTTGCGAAAAAAACTGGTTGTTTTGCTGCTGCCATATAACTGCCTATTCCCCTCCCCCCACCTGTGGTCGGGTTGCTTCTCGAGCCCCTCCTGCGGTTCGGGTTGTTGCCCTGTGGAACGGATTCTATGTGGTCTCTTGTGCAGTGTCTTTGATCGGGGGATGGTCCATGTGATATCACATATGGTATATGATGGCATATGTTGGTCTGCTGCCATATCTGCCTAGCTGGTTCGGGTTGATTCCCCCTACTTGATGGTTCTCCCTCTGTATGTGCTGTCCTGCTAGGGTGTGGTGTGTGTCCTCTTCTTCATGCCAGTTTGTGGGTGCGCTGTGCTTCTGCTTTCTGAGCTTCGTCTCCGGTCGAAAGCCTTTCGGTAACTACGCAGAACAGGACGGGCTCTCCTTTTTGTGTGCTGGGATACCATTGGGCCCGCACTTTTTTTTTNNAAATCCTTGAAATTTAATTGGGCAGCCAATCAAGTTTTAAGGGTTTTAAAAAATTTAAGGGCCTTTTTTTAAAAAAAAAGAATCCTTAAAAATTATTTGGGCGGCCAATTAAATGTTGAGGAGTTGAAGGATGTTAAAACTTTCATTGGGCGGGGCTGGGCCGGAGGCCGGAGGCCAGCATTTAAATTTTGTAAAAGCCTCAAAATTCTTAAAATTTAATTGGGCTGCCAATTAAATTTTGGATTTTAAAAGAAGGGGCCATTAAATTTTTCTAAGAATCCTTAAAATTTCATTGGGCGGCCAATTAAATTAAGGATTTGAAGGATTTTGACATTTTTAATTGGGCAGGGCTGGGCAAGCATTTAAATTGTTTAAAATCCGTAAAATGTTTAAAATCCTGAAAATTTAAATGGCCGCCCAAATAAATTTTAAGGATTCTCTAAAAATTTAATGGCCCTTGAATTTTTTTAAAATCCTTAAAATTTAATTGGCCGCCCAAGTGAATTTTAAGAATTTTAAGGATTTTACGGATTTTACAAAATTTAAATGCTGGCCTCCGGCCTCCAGCCCAGCCCCGCCAAATCAGATTTTTCAAACTCCGTAAAATCTTTAAAATCCTTAAAATTTAATTGGCCGCCCAATTAAGTTTTAAGGATTTTCAGGGCCTTAAATTTCTTAAAATCCTTAAAATTTAATTGGCCGCCCAAATAAATCTTAAGGATTTTAAAATTTTATGGCCCTTAGATTTTTTAAAGTCCTTAAAATTTAATTGGCCGCCCAATTAAATTTTAAGAATTTTAAGGATTTTAAAACATTTAAAAGCTGGCCTCCGGCCTCCAGC